GATTTTTGCCAATTCCCTCGCTGATTCCTCGCTGATCTGCGAGGGATCAGCGAGGGAATTGGCAAAACGCATTTTCCCTCACAAATCAGCGAGGGAACTGACAAAAAAAATTTCCCTCGCTGATCCCTCGCAGATCAGCGAGGGATCAGCAAGAGAATTTGCAAAAATCATATTCCCTCGCTGATCCCTCGCTGATCTGTGAGGGATCAGCGAGGGAACTGACAAAAAAACATTTCCCTCGCTGATCCCTCGCAGATCAGCGAGGGAATTGTCCTATTTTCTTATTTTTTTATCGGGGCTTAACCCATTTAACTGGGCTTTGTTTGGTTTTATTGGACCTTAATCGATTTACCGGGATATATTGAGTTTATCGGGCTTTAATGAACTTTATTCAGTTTTATTTGACATTGTTCGGTTTAATGGCTCTTTATGGGGTTTATTCGGTTTTATTTGGCCCAAATAAAACCCATTAAGTCCCAACCAAACCGAATAAAACCCGTTAAGGCTTAAATAGAACCGAATAAAGCCCATTAAGGCCCAATAAAGCCTAATAAAACCGACTCGACGAGTATATAAACATCAATCCAATCGTGTTTACAACCACCACACATCTATATATATCGTGTATACATGTGTATATATACATATAACAATTACAACATTGTGTAAACACACACACACACACACACATATATATATATATATATATATAAACACATATACATGCATACATACGACATCAACATATAAAAATATGTACATATAACACATAAAAATGAGAAAATAGGAAAAATAAAAAAATCACTCGCAGATCAGCGAGGGATCTGCGAGGGAATGTGAATTTTGTCATTTCCCTCGCTGATCCCTCGTTGATATGCGAGGGATCAGCGAGGGAATCTGATTTTTGGTCATTTCCCTCGCTGATCCCTCGCTGATCTGCGAGGGATCAACGAGGGAATTTTCCTATTTTCTTGAATTTTATGTGTTATATTTTTATATTTAGGTATCGTATATATATATATATATATATATATATATATATATATATATGCATGTGTTATAAGTATATATACCCGTTAGCCCGTGTTATATATGTATATGT